GATGATACATTATTAGAGTGATAAAACAAATATTAAATAATATATCTACAACTTGCTTTATTAGCAAAGTCATTGAAAAGAATTTATAAATTATATTTTTTAATTTTAGGAAGAAGTGAATGATGAAATGGCATGACGGCATAGAGACTGAAAATATTCTACTATAAATAACAGATTTAGGATAAAATAAATCTCAAATGATCTTTAGGCGCTATTTGTTATTTGGAGTTTCTAAAAGTTCAGCTACATCTGAATGTATTTTCAGTTTATCAGGCCAATATGTGGCAAAAACGAAGACAATCATTAAATTCGGATATTATTGATGACTTGAAATTTTCGACATATGTCGAATTGTTTTTATTCGCTGTATGATTGAATGAAATTGCATAAAAAACGAATACGAAGGTTTGAATCTTTGTCAAGTTTCAAACAGAGCAGATTAATGCTTAGGAAATAAAGTCTTAGGACAGATTACAGGTTACCAAAATGGCGCATCTTCCAGTTCTCTAGTTGTAAACTCCTTCTCCTCCTCTCTCCAAAACACGAGATTTTCTGAACTTGTTTTGATGATTTTTTCTATAAGAAGACAAAATATAGAACGTTTATGTAATGATCAAAAGTCTTAATATTGAGAGAAGAACAAAAAAACTAGTTGTATGAAATTCATGCAATGTCGCAGGACCTGCGTCCTGCAGAACGGAGTTGAAAAAACATCGCACAGATATAAATGGACTACACAGAGAATTTGAGATTTACAGAGACTTCGATACAACGTTTATTGGTCAGTTGTAGAGCAATATATGATATTTGATATTGTGTCTCATATTTAGACAAGCGTTTTATCTTTCTAAAGAATGCAATGAAAAATTTGTCCTGCAAGCCGGATGCAGAAGAAGTCTTTGCCCTGAAATGACCGTGTCCTGCCAGGGCAAACTTTTTGATACCCTGTCATATGTCCTGTAAAGCAAGATAACTGTGTGATAATATTCTGCAGGATGCAGGACAGGGCGAAAAAGAACGTCCTGTGACATTCTCTAGTATGAATATCTACATGAACAAATAGTAAAAACTTGACTTTTTGTCATTAGTGATGCGCTGTTGAAGTTTTTAATGAAACGGGTAGTGAAAAATCTTCTTAAAATTGTCCTGATAATTATTTAAATAAGTCTCAAGTGTAATATTTCAATCAGTCACTATGGATAATAATAGCAAAAATTTATAAAAGATTGTTCATATTACGTAAACAAATGGTTAAATCTTCAATATTAATACAGATATCATTGAATTTGCTTTAAAGACTCTTCATTATTCTTTTTTTTACAAAAACTATAAGAACAAGCTTATAGAAGTTAACTTTTATATTTTTGTAGGAAAATGTTAAATGGTACATTTTTTAAAAAAGAAGATGAATTTATTCTGATTTATTTCTGTAAAGTTGTAATCGATTCGATCGGTATTTACTGATTTTTACTGATTGGAAAATAATTGATAGATATGAAATTATTCTCTAATAAAACTTGTTGAGAGAAAATTTGTTTGTTCTTATCAAAATATCTAAATAATGTTGTTTCATAGAACTATTAGTTTGATTTTCTTGTGTGTCGTCTAGAATGTTTTTCGAAGTATATTTCATTTTTTTAAAAAGCACAATCAAAACTGTGTGTTTTTTGAGTTAAACTTTTTTGGTAAAGATCAAATTGATGTTTGAATCGTCGTTAAGTTTGTTTAAAAAGGTTGAGTAAGAAAATTCAAAATTTGGAGTTTAGAAATCAGTTGATTGAGGAAATGATTCGTTTTGTTGTCGTACTATATATAGAAATATGATATATTCATCTTTGAGAAATCTGACAGATATAAATGACTAAAACATTATATTCCTTGCGGGAGATTTGTAAAAACCTAAGTACAACAAGAAACATGAATATTTTTTGAAATTATTCATTTTTTATCAGTTTATATGTACTTGATTCCAAAAAAATGTTACAAAATACTTCTAGATTTCTATAATAAGATAACATAAGGTGGATAACGATTCTATGTCATGAAAACAAAGCTTAATCGAATGAAATTCCTTATAACATGCGATTGTCTCTTTAATAGAATAATTGACATAACTTTATTAAAGAAATTAATTGAAACAAAAAACAAGTAAAGAGAATAGCTTTCGAATTATCATCTTATTAATTTAATATAAAAATCGATAATTTTATTCAATAGAAATTAATTTATATTAATAAATTATATATAAAACATAATTAGAAGATTATAGGAAAAAACAATTTTAAAAATAAAAAGAAATTATTTTTGAAATAATTGTATTTAAATATGATTTACTTGAAAAATGTTTTTGTTATTATTATCCGATGATCTCTATAATCAATAGTAAAATAATTATTTAACCATAACAGTTAATATCCTAGTGATGAGTATATATTCTTCAATTAGGATGATTAAAAGGATTTTATATAAAAAGAATGTTTAAGATTGACGTTGAACAGTATGAAAGATTTTAATGCGTCAACTGAAATGGAAGAGAAGCCCTCAAGGTAAGAACTACTACAGAGAAGACATGCAACATTATAATTGATTTCACTCTACGATACGATGTCATTCACATACCCACACACACACACACATACTAATTTATTTCAAGATACAAGATGAATTTATCATTTAGATACATTTCTTTCCTATTTTCTGTAAAGAAAAAAACGACAACAACTTTAGATTGGATGAATAATTAAAAGACAAAAATTACAATCCATGATTATTACAAAAAAAAAAAAACAGTCAATAAATATATAAAAAACGGATATAATTATTTAGAAAAAAAATAATGATTTCCGTAGATAATCTAACTATTTGAAATTAGTCTATGGCAATTTATCAAACTTATTTTATTCAATACTAATTTCAAAAGAAAATCATTTTCTTTTTAATCGATTATAGAATAAAAAAAAAAAATCTTATAATTAAGACATCAGACAAAAGAATTTTATTCTTTGCATGAAATAGTGAAGTATCCTTTTAAGCTCTTTCGATGATCAGACATCATTTCAATTTATTCTTAGATGAAATATTCACTAAGCATTATTCTTATTTGTAATGAATATAACAACATAGTAACGGTTGTCACTCTTCATTTAGCTTCTTTTTACTTGTCGTGCTCATGTGTTCACTGACTGATAACAACAAGCGGAAATGGGCGACGAAAGAAAGTAGCTAAGAATATCTTAATAGACAATGACATGATTGAATTGAAGACAACAAAAAAAACTAAGAGGAAGTTCATTCAAAGAAGATATTATTCTTTAAGAAAATATGCTAATAATAGAGACAATATTTCATTAGATTTATTTTAAGAAGTATTAATACATCATCAGGTAAGATTTATTTTCCTCACATATCTAAATATATAAAACAATCAATTTATCACGTTTTCTTACTTTATTATAAGAAAAAATCTTTCAACAAAACATTTTCATATTAATCGAATATAAGACAAGCCAAGTTTTCAGTACTTTTCCTATATCATCGAGGTGTTTCATAGAAGAAAATGATTTAAATATCTAGAATATTGTAAAAACATTTCATACTTTTTTTTTTTTTATAATAAATTCCAATGCACACGAATAACTATTGTATTTCCTATAAAAGATAATTTAATGTCAGAACAATTGAATTTAAATAGTATTTGAAATAAATTGCATACTTCCGAAATCTTTTCAAAAGATTGTTTTATTTTGTAATCTTTTTCTCATTTTCGATAAAAATAAAAAAAATAAAAAGATACATTATTCTTATGGTTAGAAAATAAAATTTATTTTCAGGTATCAATTAATCTATTGTAGTTTTTTTTTTTTTTTGATTATCTTTGGTCGTCTGTTCTAGTTTCCACATATTCATATGATTGATTGATAGACATACAGCACAAAACTAGTTGATGCTTATTGGTAGATTTCATTAATGAAAAAAAAAGATCCGAAGAGAAAAAGATTTCTCGTTTTTTTCTCTCTCTCTCTCTCTCTTTCATGAAACCTTTATCTTTGAATATTGTTCGACAAGCAATATTTTATATATATATATAAAGAAGATTTTAGTATAGGCTTAGTTAAGTGTTAATTACAGGTAGACATGAATGTATATTAAGATTTGGATTAATGTCAGATGTTTTCTTGATTATTCTTCTTTTCTAGATACACTGGAACTGGAAGTACTATATTATTAATATAAAGTTGAAGACGTGCACATATAAGTCACTTGACGAAATCAATTAGTTAGAAATTCCTTTTCTCCTGCGTTTTACTTCAAGACAGAAAACGTTTTCCTTAGGCTGCATGAACACATATTAAAAAAAAAAGAAGAAAAGAAATGTTACTTTTCTCGTTCATCATCATCTCATTATTACTTGTTTAAACATAATGGATATTGAACGAGAATAAGAGCATGCACACATGTGTCTTTTATATTTATGAATTAAACACAAGTGATTGATTATTATTATTAAAGATAAATCACTATGGAATACATTTATCATTTTACAAATATTATTCGAAATACAACACAAAATTTATTCTATAAAGCAACTAGGTGAGAATTGTTTTATCATCTATATTTATCATTTGATCATTTTCTCAAATATACATCTACTACTCTTTTTCTTTTTATTTCATTCACTTTTCTCTTTAATGATTTTCTAACATAATCAAAATAGGTTTTTTTTTTTTAAACATTATTAATATCAATATTTGAGTCTCATTTACCGATAATGTTAATAAACACCTAGATTGTATTTTACTATGAGTATAGAAGTGATTAGGCATTTTTTCATTATAATGTGTACCTTTGTTTAGAAACGATAATATATATTTAAAAGCACTAGAAACTCAATTTGTGTTTATGTATCAGATTTCATATCGATTTTATTTGAGATAAAAAAGAAATGATAAAAATAATCATTAATTAATTGTAAAATATGAAACACTAATTATAGTTAAAATCAATAGAAAATATGAAACAATCGATAAAGATGATAGATTTTTTTTTTTTTTTTTTTATTTTCTATTAACTATCGATTAAGAATAAAAATTCTTTTCTACTAAGAAATGATAAACAATAAAAATGCGTTATCTCGCTATTTAATGTCTAATGGATAAGTGATGTTCTCACTTGAAAAACAGCATAGTCTAATAGTCGGAAGGAAATAAAAAAAAAAAAAGGAAGGTGATTTGAACTATAAAAAAAAGAAAGGGAACGAGAAAATTCAATAGGTTTTCATATTTCCGTTTGTAAATGAATGACTGTTATAAAGAGAAGATTAGAAAGGAAGACTCATTCCATATGGGAAATCAACAAACATTGAAAGTACATACATAAATAACTATTTATTCAATAAGGAATATCGAAAATATTCAAATTATTTCAATGAAAGATAAAAATAATTTTCTTTTTTTAATAAAATATAATAAATGAGATGGCTTTTTCATATATTACTCAAAGAAATATTATATAAAATGACAGGAACTCATATTCCTTTAACCTTAAGCAATGAATCTTTCTATTATTTTTTGTCAAGGTCAGTCATCATCAAATATATCTATCAATGTATATTAGATTTTTCCCAAATGATCATGACTTTTAAAATAAGTCAACCGTAAAAACGAGATTTTGTTGTCCTTTTCATTTTTCTCAAATACATTAATTCCCAAAACAGTCAAACTTATGAAGATATATCAACGACAACAATTCTCATAATGAACTTTTTTGTTTCTCTGAAACATAAAGTAAATCATTTTCAATGGTAGATAGACAACCTTAATCAATGAATAAAAACTATAAAAAATAAAAATAAAAAAATGTCGTTCCATCTGACAATTATGAACAATAAATAAAAATAAATCTATGTGTATTGATAATCTCTCTTGAGAATAACAAACAAAATTTGATATGAGAAAAAAAAATATTTTATTAAAAAATAAAAAAAATAATAATAATAATAATAATTTATTTAAAGTGTCCTTCAACGTAGTAATCCAAATAGTCAATCGGACTATGCCGAATTAATTGAAGATGATGATGGAAGAGAACATCGACGTATAAAAACAATTCCTGCAACATCATCAAAATATGGTTCATATATTCCATCTCGTTTTCAATTTATTAATTCAATTAAAACAATGCCTGTACGATATCAAACAGCATTTCTTAGTTCATTAGGTTTTCTTATATCATTTGGTATTCGTTGTAATATGGGTGTTAGTGTTGTTGCTATGACACATAATGAAACAGAAAAACTTCCTAATGGAACAATTAAACTTATTAAAGTAAAGAATAATCAAATCATTTTTTTTTTCTTGTCTTTTGAAAAAAAAACTGGTCAATATAAATTTTTGTAAATAGTTAGCTCAATTTGATTGGACACCAGGAATAATTGGTATTGTTGATAGTTCTTTTTTTTGGGGTTATCTTATCACTCAGGTACCCGGTGGATATTTAGCAGCTAAATTTCCTGCTAATCAGTAAGATCAATTCTTTTCTCATAATTAAGATAAAAAAAAATTTCGAATTTTTTATTTTTATTAAGTGTATTTGGATTTGCACTTGGTATATCATCATTTTTGAATTTATTTATTCCATTTGCAGCTAAAATTCATTATGGTGTAGTTATGATTCTTCGAATTCTTCAAGGACTTGTTGAAGTAAATTAAAATTGAGAGTTTATTTTTTTATTTTTTTTTATTTTTCTTTCTTTTCCTAAAAGGGTGTTACTTATCCAGCAGCACATGGTATTTGGAGATGGTGGGCACCACCTTTAGAACGAAGCACATTGGCAACAATATCATTCACTGGTTCATCTATTTATTTATTTTTTGTCTTAATTAGAGTAATTGCTTTTCTTTTGTTTTTTTTTTCTAGGATCATATGCAGGTGCTGTTCTTGGAATTCCATTATCTGGAATTCTTACCGAATATTTTAATTGGCAAATTGCATTTTATTTTTATGGTAAAAACTATTTTTAACATTTCAATGATATATAATCAAAGAATAAAATAGGTGTCGTTGGAATGATTTGGTCAGTATATTGGTGGTATTTTTCATATGAACGACCAGCTATTCATCCAAAAATTACTGAAGATGAACGTGTTTATATTGAAGAAAGTATTGGAGAAGCTAGTTCAATTTCTAATAAGGTAAACAATAATATAATATTAATTCTATCGTTTTATTTAATTCAATTAAATATTTTATTGACAAAATTATATTTATATATCATTTATATTCAATTATTTTCTAGTTGATTTACATCATCGAGTCTAAAATATTGAAAGGATTATCAATTTTTATCATCATATTCGAGATATCAACTGTGTAGAAGATGGGAGGATATTCATTTAGTTGATATTCCCCTTCCTAATAAGTGTTCCACTATGTGATGTTATAATATCACACGGTGGACACACTTTTTATGAAAGGAAACACTAGCTAACGAATACTATTTATTTCATAGAAGATTAAAATCATTCGGCATGATGACTTATGTCTGACAGAAAATACACAATATCTACGAACAAGAGGCGCATAATAAACGGATCAATATGTTTTCCTCTTTTTGAAATATTTCTCAACCTATTAAAGACTTAATTTTAGACTTATTCGATAGAAAATCTTCTGCTCTACAAAACAACTGTCCTTGCTTTTCAAATAAGATTCTTTTTTTGTTGGCGCAATATTTTAAAAATGAAGATCTACTCAATCGTCTAACTACTATAGTCAAAAAACGAAAAATATTTGATGAAAATTTCACTGAAATTTCAAATATACTATAATATTCTTCAAAATATTCTGCACCTCCTGATATGTTTTAAAATTTTAGAAGAAATCTATACAAGAATAATTTCTTCAGTAAAAATTATGAAAAATTCTTTTCTGACAGAATTAGATCATTTCTTTGTTTTTTTAACTCTTTGAGTTCCAAATTATTTCTGCTGGATTGAATTGGAGCAAACTGTTAGATTAGAATATATCGATAGGTGATCTGAAGATGAGTGTGAGTATTGTTTAACAGAAGCCTCTCAATTACACTCATAACTGTACTTCTGTTCCCATACCCACATTCATGACCTCACTTCAATCTCCTTACTCACACTCAGATCGACGCGCTCACACCCACATCAACACACCCATATAAAGATCGACGTGCCAACATACAGAGGCATGCACTCACACCTACAGATCCATACTCACACCGAAGAATATTCTTTATTGCTTCATTCCAGTAGACAACATACTAATCTTTATAAATTATGTTGTGAAAAATAATTATAAAATATGTGTAACTTTTTTACTACTATAGTACACAAAAGGTTAATTTGACATAACTTTATGTTTCTACTCTTCAATTTAACAATGATATTATTCTGTTCAGAATTAAATTCTACATCCGATAGTATGAGAACAAACGTGTCATAGACCAAGTCTCACTTTAGAAAACATGCTTTTCCAGAATGCATCTCAAAAAGAGCCCTTGAAAAGGTCGTTAAAACAGATAGTACAAAATTCTCTATGGATTGATGCCAAATACTTTACTTTTATTGTCAATTCTGATGAGTAAAAACTTACACGAAAAGTTATTTGAAAAACAAATATAGTGAATTTATAGAGCAGGAGATTCTCTATTGAATGAGAATAAAATGAAGTTTTTAATACGTTGAGACGTGCTCTAAAAAGGAGGAAAATATTTGACTCTGCTTTTAATGTGTCACCTATTAATATATAGTTAATAATTCAATATCAATAAAATTTGCTTCTATTAAAAGAATATACAGCTCGTATGGTTAATAGAATATGTTAATTAATGTCAGTTGTTTATTTTGCATAAACTTCAAAAGAAAAACTTGTTGCGTTTATTTCAGAACATTCGATATACACGAGAAATTTATTTGAAAAACTAATAAACCCTAATTTATTATATTATCGACATTTGATGATCATTCTAATAAGTAGAATAAAGTTTGTTGATCTGATATAATCTTATTGAGTAATGAAATCTAGAACTTACAAGGAATTTATTCTTAACTCTCCAATCACTTTTTGCATAAGACTATTCTTATTCGATCGACCATAATCAGTAGTAACAAAATCTTTTTTGATTTACTTGAGTTATGAGCGTTTTACTTGATCTTTGTCGTATGAACACAGAATCACTGAGAATCGAGAAGATCAAATTTTGAACTGAATTTTATCCACTGATAGATCTTAGAGTCATTAGAAATATCCTAAAATTTGAGTTAGAACAAGTGTATCCTTGCTAAAATATTTATATTTTAAAGAAAAGCCTCTTTTAGGCAATGTATTAAAAGATGGACGTTTCTATGACAAGCTCATATCTCAATTCAGATACGTTTGTCCTAGCTCAAATAGAGTAAAATACTCATAACTCAACAAAATGAAAACTGAAAAAAATAAATCAAAAGAGATTTTCTTACTAAGGATGATGACCGACCAAATGGCAATAGTCTTAAGCAAAAATTGATTGAACGGTTAGAAATGTTCTCTCTTTAATATGATATTATAATTTAAATGCAAGAGTATATAAAATATGAATAGAGACAAATATATAATAAAGTAAATTTGATATTAGACATGGATAAAACCTCCGTGGCGTTGTTTTTTTACATCAAAACCAGTATGGGCAATAATAGTGGCTAATTTTTGTCGTTCATGGTCATTTTATTTATTAATTAATTCTCAAGCTGAATATTTTCGAGAAGCACTTGATTATAATGTTGGAAAGGTTAGATTTTGTTTTTTCTTAGATAATTTATCTTCTAATTATTAAAAAATGAATTAATAGGATCCATTATTGGCTGCTTTACCTCATTTAACAATGTCATGTATTGTACCATTTGCTGGTAAATTAGCTGATTATTTACGTACAAATTATTTATCGACAACAGTTGTTCGAAAAATAATGAATTGTGGTGGTTTTGGATTGGAAGCTGTTTTTCTTTTACTTGTTGCTTATGCAAAAAATCCTCGATTAGCTATTGGAGCATTGACAATTGCTGTAGGATTTAGTGGATTTGCAATATCAGGTTAAAATAATAATAATAAAAAAAAAAAAAAACCTAAATTTTTATATATTAATATTTATCTGTTAGGATTTAATGTAAATCATCTTGATATAGCTCCACGTTATGCAAGTATTCTTATGGGTATTTCAAATGGAGTTGGAACATTGGCTGGAATGTTATGTCCTGTTGCTGTTGAATTTTTAACTAAAAAAGGAGTAAGTTGGTATTAGATTTTTTTGTAAATTATTTTGTTTTTTTTTGTAAATAAAAAAAGAAACGTGAAGAATGGGCACATGTATTTCTAATTGCTTCATTAATACATTTTGGTGGAGTTATATTTTATGGTTTATTTGCATCTGGTGAAAAACAACCCTGGGCAGAACCATCACCAACAAATGATAACATATCAAATGAAACATATAAACGTATTAAATAAAATAAAAATTTATTTCGTTTTTTTTTATTTTTTTACTTTTTTAATATAAAAGAAGATGGTGAACAAATAGCATCCTATGGATCAACAGTAACAGATGGCAGTGGTTTTGGTTATCAAACAACTGATCCATATGATGTTATGCCTAATGGAAATTCTCCAAATCGAACAAATCAACAAACAAAATTTGTTCCAATAACAATTGAAAATCCAATGTATAAAAATTATCATTAAATATTGGTCAATAGTGATATGAATTTTTATTGTTTTTTTTCCTTTATATTGACAATCATAATTACCTTTTTATCCGGTTGCATTTTTAGAATTTTATCATTATTTAGTGAGAAAGCATATTGTTCGTTTAATATTTTCAGTTCTTTAATTGTAATATGTTGTCTGTCATTAATTATTTTTATTTTATCTCAATTTTATTTTTCTCATTAATTTAACGATTATGATTTTTTTTTCTTTTTTTTTTTTGAATATCAATATAAAAGTATAAAGAGAGAGCGAGAGAAAAAAAAAGGCGTGATATGTTTGAAGGTAGTAATGGATCAATAACATGTTAAGTGCTTTGATATGATTAAGAAAAAAAAAAAATGAAAATAAAAGGTAGGAGTCTTGTCAAGCGATTATTGAATTGATCTAATAAAACTATATTCGTTCAATGTATATTTAAATGTGCGCTACTCTTTTTTCTTCTTTTATTATTATTGTCAACTTGATTGCTCCAGTTTTTTTTTTCTTTTCTTTTCTTTTCTCTAAATCTATTGATAACGACAAGAAACGAACTGAATGATTGAATTTCAAAGTAATAGGAAAGAAAGCTATACTACAAGTCGACGAAGAATAACGAGCTTTTAAATGCTTCTCATTCTAGAAAGAGGCAAACGAATAAAAGTTAAATGCATAGATTCTAAAGTTATTGAAAGAGAGAGAATAAAAAACATGTCTTGAAAAAAAAAGAAAAGAAAAAAAAGTTTTCTTTTCTCGAGTGAAATTATTTATCCATAAAAAAATATGTATGTAATAATAATCGAACAAATGAAATAAAGGTAGCAGTTAAATATAGTTTCTGACTTATTAAATATCTTTTAATAGGATATTTCTTTAAAAAAAAGTCAATATGTCAGTTTGAGATTTATAATGTTTTTCTTTCCAGGTGAAATAGTTAATTAAAAAAAAATTTATCTAGTAAAAAAATCTATTCATTGTTTTTGCTTATTCTACATAGAATATTTAAAAAAATCTCCTCCTGTTTCTTGATGATCTTATCAACACTTCAATGTCAAATTTCTTTTTTTATCATTTATTCAACATATTTAATCCATGAAAATAAAAATACAAAAGAGGATTGAACACGATCTTATGTCTCATACTAAGTCTTATTGATGTATGAAGTGTTTCTAACAGTTGTATGGCATATGTGTGTAGTAATGCAAGATATTTACATTTCTCTCTCTCTCTCTCCCTTTTTCTCTCTCTATGAATAATACAAATTAAACTTTATGCATTATTAAAAAAGATTTGCCTTGGTGCATGTGTGTGTACTCTGTGGCCGCTCGAATGTGTGCTACAAATACAACATCATTATTACAAAACGAGACGATGACGATGACAACAACCAACACTTTTTTTCTATCGTTAGAATCAAATGTATGTTAAAAAAAAAGGAAGTTTATATTGTCATTGTAGAAATTATTATTCATGGTGAGTTTTTACAACAATATTTCTATTATTATTATTTTCAGAGAATTATATGGAGTTTTTCTTTTTTTATTGAATATTTACTTTTATTAAGGAAAATTCGATGTGAATAATCAAAATTTTATACGAATGAGAGTAGAAATTTGATGTTAATGGTTGATTAAGACACGAATATTTTTTTTTTATTCAAACTATTATTCAATAACTTAAGATTTTCTATTTAAGTAGATTAAATTACAGAACTTCTCTTTTTCAAACTAGAGCGCTATTCAAACAAATTCAATGTCACTTATTATTTTTTCTCTTTTCAATGATTATTAAAAAAAAGGTTGTTGAATATATTGTTGTCTAGTCACATTAAAAATTTCTATTAATTATTGCAGATTGATTTAGACTTTTTTTAAAAAAGTAATTCAAAGAGAAAAAGAAAACTTGTAACTAATTATCAGTGTTAAAAGAGGAAATGAGATGTTTGTCATTGTTGGAAATTGAATATATGTTTTGTCAGGAGAATAAAGTGTACATTGTTTGATTGAAGACAAAGAATAATTTACTTGAGGTCAAATTCAGGTCAAAAAGATTTTTATTTCATAGATATTCATTTAATATTAAGAATATAAAACTACTTGTTTAGATTTAAGAATTAAAATTCTACAAAAAAAACGTTTTTGTGCTAAAATAGCATGAAAATATTTATAGATAGCCTAAAGAAAACTTTTATTGCTAATTGCAAGGCGAGGTCATCAAGAACACAATAAATGTCAAAAAGTTGTTTTTTTTTAATAAAAGATCAAAAAAAGAGTCAAATAAGACGGGTTCATTATTCCTCTTTCATTGTTCTTAATTCAATTTATGATACAAACGAATATTTTATTCAGATAAAACAACGAGAAGTAAAAGATCATTTCTTTTCTTTTTTTTTGTATCTACATGTGCAAATTATCATTGAGACTTATGTAGTTTGAGCGACACATCCAATGACATTTTCTGTTTTCATAATTGACCGATAGAAACAAACTATATGATACGATTTGCTAGATCTCATCGTTTCTATTATCAACAAAATAGACATGTCACATATACATTTATGTAAACACATTGACGAATACTTAGCCATTTGTCCTTGCTCTTATTTTATATACAAATAGGATCTTACAAAAAATATAAATAAAAACTTTCACAAATATACTTCTCTTATAAATAGAATAGAAAGAAAAAGTGTTGATCCCTTAGGCAATTGATTAATTCTATTGTATGAATGGTAGAATGTTATGTTCATAGTTGATTGTTATGACGAACAACAACTCTCTTTTTTCCTCTTGAATTCCCAATAAGCCTTTGGCTAATGTAGATATGCACTTCTCCTTTTTTTTTCTCTTCTTCTTCTTCTTCTTCTTCTTCACCTTTTTTTCCTCTTCTCTTCTCTTCTACTGTCATATGGTCGAAGCCATATGGAGATTCATTTTCTTGTTCTTATTCTCAAGAAAATAATCGTGCATTTGACAACAATCATTTGGAGGAAAAGAGAGAGAGAGAGAGAACAGCGCTGCGTTGATCTAATTGACTTTATCATATTTTTGCGATCTACTCACAAAAAAAAATACTACCGATGGCATATAGACAAATACATTCACCTTTTTTTGACGTGAGAGAAATAGAGTTGCTTTGCGCATATTGTCTACACAATCAGAAAAGTGAAAAATCAATCATGCTTGTAGGATATGTGTCTAATGTACTATGCACTTCTCATTTCTATATGTATGTGCATATATACATCATTAAATTAAAGCATGCTTATTCGTCACGTAGAAATGAATATATCTAAATATGTTCATATTAACGTTCTCGTAGGATATTGTCAATTGATAAATTGAAATAATAGAAAGAACACAAGAGGAAATGACTTTGTTTTTTTTGGGAAAGATAAATAAGCAAAAGGACGAATGAAAAGGTAATCTTTCTCTCGTGTTATCTTTCGTATTCCTTCAACATAAAGTACATATATATGGATATTATCGAACAGAATAGAAACTGCGTAAGTACTTTTCTATCATAAAAAATATAAATCATTTTATTCGTTAGATAAGCTAAAGATCAAAGAAAAAAATGAAATTCTAATTATATTTAAATATTTCTTTAATAATTAATATATTGAGTTTGTATGAAATGAGACTAGTAGAATCTATTAGATATTTCTGATAAAACAAAAAAAGAAGAAGATAAGTATTGTTTGTTATTCTAAATGAAGGTCGTTTCTATTGTTTATACATTTGATATAGGACATTCATTGAATGCACTTGTCATTGTCAGGAGTGTTCGTTATTCTTCTTCTATTTCTCTTCATCTTCCTGCTTTTCTTTTTTTCATATGATTAAGGATAGTTTCTCTTCTCTTATGATAAGAAATTTGTCCTTAGACATATAATGATACTAAAAAATATTTGAATTATTTATAGAATAAACAACAATAAAAATATGATTTATCATCGATATGAATGGAATGTCTTTTTATGACTACGACAAATATTGTTTTATCAATGATTAGTGAGTTTTCATTATATATTTTAATATAATATTCGAATATTTAAAAACATAAATCATATAGGAAAAACTAACGACCTTTTTCAACATATAAAGGTCATATTACTATTATATCTTAAATTAACCATGAATATCTCATCCATTTTCAAGGCACACTTTCATTTTCACTTCTATTAACAATCAGTTCAATTAAGAACAATTTTTTTTTTCTTGATAATTATTTATAAATTAAAAAAAGAAATTCATTCAATATCGCCATTTATCCTATTTAAATAGAAATTTATTCTTATTAAGTTTTATGTCTTATTTATTTTAAATTAAAAGATAAAATAATTTCTTTTTAATGGATATTAATGTTAAACATATTATATTTATATCGAAATCTTTTATGAAACAACCAATGTTAAATAGTCTTTTATTTTTATAGAAAATTTCAAATTATAAAAAAAAATGGAAATTTTTATTTATTCTCAGAATTCTTACAAATATTTCTATTATTAGTCACAGAAAAAAAGATTTCAATTTTAATCATTTATTCAACTTTCCAATTAGAAATTTCTTTATTATTTATATATATATATATATATAACGATGATTCATATTCTATAATATAATCAACCATCCTTAAATAAATTTATACAGCTTTGGAGTTTACTCTTAAAATATTTCCTTTTTTATCGATCGTCACTGTTCGAAAATTTGTCTTTGAAAGAGAATTTTATTTACACAAAATGATTAATATATATAATCAATAATTAAACTGATATTTGTCAAGATTTTTATCACTAGTGACATAAAGTATAAGATATTCTACTTGAATAAATAGAGAAACAAAGTTTGTAATATATGTATATAAAAAGATAAGTTATCTTTGGGTGTCGATTGTGACATATCATTTATTTCATTAAGTATTTTATCGAATATTAATCATTAGTTTTGTCCATCGCAATTTATTAATTGAGTATCTTTGAGTAAAAAAGGAATATTTCGTTTGATAAACAAATTCAAGAATATTTTAGAATAAAATTCTTTTTTTTTTTTTTTTTGTTTTTTTTATTAAATTAATTCAACATAAAAACTTAAAAATTCTTCTACTTGAAAAATAGAATAGAAAAGTGTTTGTATTTATTTCTTTGATTATTTATAAATAATATTAATTTAATTTCTCATCAATGATCTGTAGTTAAACTTAAATCTTGATAAAATAATGCTTCGAGATAAATATACAATAAGAAATCTGAATTTAAAATTCAATATGAAAATTGTTTTACATCGTGAATTTCGAAACGCTAAGTCGTTAGTCTCTTTCAATTCGATTTTTCTTAGTAGAAAAAAACTCAAATATGAGCCAATATTATTTCTAATGAACTTCCTAAACATATTTATTTGATCATAATCGGTTTTATTTAGCAAAAATATTAGATGAATTGTATTATTTAATCAAATAAAATGAATTCGATTTTTCATATCGGAAATTGATTTGATACTAGGAGAATAAAATTCTATATAAATAATATATTGTAATTATTATGAAAAGCATTAATATTAATAGAATAATAAAATAAATAAAACTATTAAAGTTAATAATTTGTATATAATTATTTCTAAAAAGAATCTTTCTTTCTTTTTCTTTTTGTTGCTTTGTAAAGATTTATTCTCTGTTAATGTTGATACTTGAGAATGTAATTTGTTCAATGATGAACATTTTTCTATGTTAAGTACAATTGACATAATAGAAATAAGGCTCATTATCTAAACTAGCTTTCTTCTTTAGAATAATTGGTCTATACTAATATTTATTTCGGACAAGAAACAAAAAAAAAAAGAATATGAGTCAGCTTTTTTTTTTCTTCTCTTATTTATTAATAGTTGATATTATACTTGTTAATTTTTAATATCAAATCTCTTTAAGAATTATTTTTTATTCAATCTAAATTCATTTATATACGGAAGAAAATAAATATACATCGAATTATTTGATTCAAGAGGAAATTTATCATTTATATAAAATCTAAGATTGATTATTTATTATCTTGACAAAAAAGGAATTTGTATTATACAAAACAAAAAAAAGGCGTTTTTATATGAACAAAGAATAACTTATTTATTTTCCTGAATAAGATAAAATCAATATGAATTGATAATTCTAATTGCGGAAATCAAACTCTTTTCTCTTATCGCTTTTTTCTATCATCTGCGACTGAGATTTATTTTACATTATATGTATGCAAACACATCTCTTCATCTCGTTAGTGATATTCTCGTTCCGGCATTCCTCGTTTTCTTTTCTCTATCCATAATGCACACGTTCCTGTGCATTTTCAAATGTATAGAAAACACATATTGGAAATGAGAAGAAATTGAAAGAATATATGTCTATTGAGAGTGATTTGTCATAAACTTTGCCGTTTTTTTATTCTTCTCTATTCAGTACCGGTCTAAGAGAAGGACGCGAAGGGGACAGTCGCCTCGTTTCTTTCAATAATTTTTTTAGACTTTTTTTTTTTAACAGTAAAACTTGTCTTTCTATTATGTTAAATGACGTCCTAAAATCGTATTATGATCACTTGTCGACTTTGTTAACATTCTCAATCGGGCAAATATATGCACACTGTCCATTAGATCAATGATGAGAGAAGGAACTGCTTAATGATCAATAGTTTTTAGCACATTCAAAGAATGAATGAGAGTGTTATTTTCACCTCCCTTTTTCTTCGTCTTCTTCTTTTTTTTCCTCTTTTACATATACGCAAAGGGAATCAAATAGAAGGTCTAGAGAGAAAAGGAGACGAGAAAAAAAAAGAGAACGAGAGAAGAGAGAATAGATGGATGCCTGTCGTGCCTTTGCCACAACCAAGATGAGATGAATCGATTGAATGAATGAATGAATGAATGAAATGTGTGCAGTGCCTATTAATAGTAAACGAGACTGACGTGTCTCATATAACCATGAATAGTTGATATAATAAGACATGAGAACAAATCGAGGTAAGACCTTTTTTTTTCGATTTGTTAGATAGTAAAAAAAGAATTATGTCGTGTTTTTTTTTCTATTTGGCCACACGTAGGTTGATTAGTTGTTGAATATTTCAATAGAAAAAACCAAAGAAAAATAAAGTTGTCCGATGAAGGCAACTATGTATAAAAACATATAATATCTATATATAAATGGAATAGTCTAGATTTTGAATAGAATTAAAATTCATTTTCAGTATGGTTGTTCATATTAAAATAAAACTAGGCATATCTTGTTTCGTGTGTTTTTTTTTTGTTTCTTCTAGTTGTACTCAAGTCACGTATTATCTATTATCTATTTCTTTTAATAAACGAAACACGTTGTATGTTTTAACTAGATAAGTTGAAAATGTCGACTAACATTTATTAAACGATAGTCTTCGCTTTTTTTTTTTATTTCGTAAGTAAATCAATTTTTGTTTTGTAGATAAATTCGAATAAGAATAAATCTTTTTATTCATTCGAACAACAAGAACGAATCATTATCATTTTTTTTTGTCAATATTTTGTTGATTTCAATATCATTTATAAGATGATTCGTATTCTTTATTGATCTATCAAATGTTTATGTGTACGTTTTCGTTTTCTTTATTTAATAAGGTTTATAGAAAATAGTTGAAGATTTTCTTTCTTTTCTTTTTTTTTTAATATTTATTTGAATATTTTATTTATTGTTAATGAAATGATATTCATGTATTCATATTATAATTTAATCAATGAACGTATCTTTCTATTACGTTTTTTCATAGAAACGACCAGTGAGTTTTATCATATATGAACAAATAGAATTTCTTTAGTATAAAAAAAACCCGTTCTATATGAAAATCCTTATTTATTCATTTTTAATGAAAGGAAAAAAAAATTCTTTTTACAGTTAACATTGTATATGAATATAATTTAGTTGATTTAATATGTTCATTAGTCAATAAAGGTATTTTATTTCATACGATAAAAAGCCCCAAGGTATTCTATAATTAATGTTTCCATTTGATTTCCGGTAGAAAAAGAAAAAGAAAAGAAAAATAGTTTTAGTTTATATTGAAGTTCGAATGAATTTTTTTCCGCATGTCCTTTTATATAAAAAGACAACAAGAAAATTTTATTTGCATTTCTTTTTTTCTTTTTTTTTTGTCATTTGAGTATTTTGTTTGTATTTGAGATCAAACTTTCTATTTAACATAATCAATTAAGTTTATTCTGATTAAAATTGACTAAACGAATGGATTTAGATTTAAAATAAATATCAAATGATGATTAATTAATAGAAAAGTTTTATCGACTTTTCGATAAGAAAAAACAAAACCTAACAAGATAAACAAAGGTGAATAAGAAGTTATTACGTTACATATTTAATAAGGGAATGAAACCTTTAGTTGACATAGGTTTTTCTTTTTTTTTTTTTCTTCGAAATTCATCGAGTAAAATTGATTTTTATTATGATAGAAAAAGATTTTCTTCTAACACTTATTACATTAGTTAAAAGAAAAGAAAATAATTTTAAAAGAATCTACAAATTCTTTTTCCTACTATTTCACATTGGGGTTATGAACATTTTTTTTCTCATTGAGATTCAAAGTAGAATAAAAGAAAAAAATCATTTATTATGTATCGTAATTTGCCGCCATCTAGACATGTCAAAAAAATCTGATGAATAATGTCGATGTTTATTTCACCGAACTGGTTAAAAAAAAAAGAAGCTTGTTATTATTATTTGTTTGATGATGTTCGATTTAAAAATGAAGAGAAAAAAAACACTTTTGACATATTTTTAGATGTTAAAAATTCTATTTTTTTTCTTATAATTAAAATCGAATAAAATCATTCCATTATAAAACAAAAAAGAAAAACGAAAAATCTCATTTTATTTCTCAATCCGGTGTTATTTATGGTATTACTTTCATTTGCAATATGATTAAAAATTTCCTTTAACAAAAAAATAAAAAATAAAATGTTAAGACGATCATCAACAATCAATGATGAAGATCAAAAAACATTTTCATTAAAAAAACGTTGGTTAGCACATCATCATGATGATCAACAACAAGTTAATAATAATAATAATCAAAGTAAATTAATTAAGAAAATTAAATTTAATAAAAAACAAAAGAAATATTTGTTTATCTTAGATAATATATCTGAAATAAGTAAATTATTACGTGAATATAATTTTCAAGATTGGCGAACAATAACAGTTCTTGTTGAAATAAATTCAAATGAATATATATCAGGTAAAATTGCTCATATTGGTATAAATGGTTGTTTATCTATTCAATCAAATATATCATCATATAATAAATTAATTGATATAAATGTTTATGAAAATTTTTTTGGAATTTTATCTGATAATGCACCACCAATACAAGATTTAATTGAAGGAAAATTTATTTTATGTAAAAATCAATTTAATAATCAAATTTATCAAACAGCTGTTATTATTGAAAAAACAAAAGAAGGAAAATTTAAAATTTTATTTCAAGATCAATCTGATATATTATGTGTACCAAGACAATCTATTAGATTATTTTTACCACCATGGCATGATGGTTCGATTTTTATCTTTTACTTTTTTTCTTTATTTTCAAATTTTATTTTAGAAATTTCAATTGATTGGAATGCAACACTTTATCAAACAAGATTATTTACTTTTAATAAGAATATTAATGGTAAATATTTGCTTTTTTTTTAAACAAATACTGTTTTCATTCAAAAAACAAATTGTTTACAACAGTGAATAATCGTTTAAACTTATCTCAATGGTTAAAAAGTTGTTAAAACTATTAGATTAAATCCTAGACGACGGAGGTACAAGGCTTAGGTAAATCCAAGCCTAGTCTAGATTGAAACATCGTAGCCTACGATTAGAGTCCATCGAATTTGGTCTTAGGCTTGATGAGTTCCAGGCCACACATTTCTCAAATGATTCGTCTGAGAAATGTGTAGGATGCACTACTCATCGAATACAAAATATGGTTCGAACATTTGAAGTCGACGGGTTCTAGTTATGATACCCTCAAACAATTTTTTCTCATTCGATTAGATTGAGAGGTTTGAGTAGTGTATTACATTTCTCGAAGAAATGACTTCGGATAAGTTTTTTTTTTTTGAGTAAATATTGAATTTTGTAAGAGCAACTTAATGAAAAATCAATGTTAGATTAAATAGAATTTTGTTTCACCTTCGGTGACTAGGATAATATGTCTGTTAAACATTCTCAACAATGAACAAATTCACAAGTGCAACACCGGTTTTTTTTGTAAGACATTTCTGCTTTGTCATTAAATTTTTTTTCCAGTAACGTCAAATGAAAAAGTCTTCTTTTAAAAAATGGCATATATATTCAAATGGAATAGATCTCAAAGTTGAACACCATTTTGTCGTTCCTCTTGAGGTCATAACCTTTTTACATGAGCAGACGTGAAGTGTTTCTTTGACCTAATTATAGTAAACTATGTGTTTCGTTTGAGTTTGAAGTAGGTTCATTTTATGTATGGTTCAAGTACTCGAACTTTAAAGAACAAAAAAAAACTTACATCACAATACAAACGTACTTTAAAAGGAACAAATTCAATTAATAATTGAATTGAAATCAAACTTTATTGATAATTATATTATTTCAAAAAAGAAGCAAGAAAAATCATATTAGAACATTTTTTTTTTAAATAGTTATATTTTCTATTGTAGTTCGGAAAAAAATCTTTTAATTGAAGAAATTTACATGAATAAGAACATATATATATATATATAAGCACATGTCTAATCAGAATTAGTGTAAAAGAAGATTTTATGAACGAGTATTATCCATTTCATAGGAAATTTTATTATTAAAATTGAAGTTTATATCAATATTTTTTCGGAGGCAAAAAAAATTTCTATGAAATTGAGAATGTTCGAAAAAGTTTTTCTTGTCAAAGTAAATAACATTTTATGTTTAATAATCGATTCTTTCTTGAATATTAAAATATTTCGAAAAAGAATTCACGATTTTGGCGAAAACTTTAACACATTAGGTATTCGACTCATATATGTATGGACTAAGCTGTTATGGATATTCTAACCTAGAAGATCTTCTCTGTCTTTTCCTTATAGTTTTAGTATCAATATATCATATTACTGCAAATGTATGTCAAGTTAAAAAGAACGAATTATGAATTTCGAGGTCTAATGAGAAAGCATAGACTCTCTCTATATACAAAATCACTGTGAAATCGGACAGAATCCGTAAAATTTGCGTATAATTTCAAAACAATTCTCGTCCTCGAAAGTTGCGATCACTACTGGAGCTCTTATTCTATAGAAGATCAGACATTCAATTTTATTAGATCTATATTATGATATAGAACAACAGGATTATTCATTGAACTATGCAAAGGATTTCTCAAGATTTTTAAACAATTCTTTATGTACTGAATTTTATAGTATTGATTGAAGTCTAACAGAATTTTCTGGTTTATTTTGACGTATATTACCCAATTCCTAGTTGCTATGAGTAAACACACATATTGTTTTGTCATCATTACAAAAAAAACCTCGTAATTAAAGAGTTAAAAAATATTGTAAATCTAAGATCCGCAAGTCTTGTTAAATATCTATTAAACTTCTACTAATCATAGGTTTCAATGTGACAGTAGCTAGCCTATCCTTCTTCCCCATTTTTTTTACGTCCTATTAAAGAAAACTTTGAGCTATTGTCAGAAAACTGTCTGGCAAGTTTAAGAAGACAATTATTTTCTACGAGATAGAGAGGGCTCGAGTGTCTGTCGAATTTTTAACTACTATCGAGAGGTGTGAAAATAGAATAAAAATTTGTCTATAATGTAATTACCATTGAAACTGGTTAAAACGGAGGTATTCATTAATAGAGAGATTTTCAGTTGTTTCTTTTTTTCAAAATGATAAATATTGACTTACAATTACTCTTTGACTGAATAAAATGATCTTTTATTCTTCTTTTTAATAATTAATTAGTTAAAATCATCAATGATTTTTCTGAAATAAGACAGAATTAATATTTTCTAAAAATAACTGCGAAATATATTTTGAAAAAATTGTCAATCAAGATTGCGTGTATGTAAATCTTCTCTTCTGCTACATTTACATTATGAAGGTTGTTATTACTCATGGGACTAGAAATAAATGTTCATAACTCATAACGAAGAGGTTTTACTGTCATTTCAAAAGAAAAAATTTATTAAAATAATTTGAACAAAAAAATTTTTTTTTTTAAAATATTTGAATAGGTTCATGTATAAGTCCATTATCTATAGATGATCAATCATCAGATATGAAAATGGAAATATTAGAAAATGATTCAAATGAAAAATCCTATCGTAAAGGTGATGTTATAACAATTGATAGTGAAATTCGAAAAAAATATAATGGTAAACAATGGCGTCGTCTTTGTTCGTATGAAAAATGTACAAAAGAATCTCAAAGATTTGGTCTTTGTTCAAGACATTTATCATTAAAAGAAAAAACTTCATTAAATAATCAATTAAATCAATCAACTAGTCATCAATCTCATACAAATAAAACAATTTTAACAAGAGAAAATTCAATAAAAATTTTCAAAGATAAATCAATACGTCGTCCAATGAATTCTTTTATGTTATTTTCACAAGAAGAACGTGCAAAAATTCATTTAGAAAATCCTCATTATGATAATCGAAATGTATCAAAAATTTTAGGTGAAAAATGGTATTCATTAACACAAATTCAACAACAACAATATAAATTACGTGCTAAACAATTAAATGATTTAAATAAAGAACAATTAAGAAGATCAGCAAGATTACAATCAACTCAGAAAATTATATCATCTCCTAATCCATCAGATCCACTTCAAGTTTTTGCACAAGTAGAGTTTTTTTTTAGAATATTTACAAAGAAAATATTTTCTTCCTTTTTTTTCTCTTAATCGAAATTAGATTTGTACAAATATGCCGAAATTAACAGAATATTTTTCACCAATAACAAAACCATCGGAAGAAAATCCATCAACATCAACAAATATAATAACACCTATTCCTATTCATGCCGATTCAACATTTAATATTATTAATCAAACACAAACAAATAATTCATCTTATCGTAAGGAGATTCTTTTTATCATAGGACTTTCTCAAAAAATCGATCGTTCAAATGGCATGAAATTTTCAGGCCAATACCATGACATTTGACAGAGATATTCACCAAACAAGGGTCAAAAATAACTCATTTGGTATCCCAAATTTCTTTGTCTAGGCTCATCCTATTTTTCTTAGAAGAAATCACAAAGTCAATGACTGAAAAAAAATCCCCCAAAAAAATGGTGCTTTTTCTATAGAGATGTTTTCTTATTTGATAATAAAAAAAACGACTCAGTGGTGCAAAAAATTAAAATGCATAACATGACCTTCGACAGAGAAATTTTGGCTGTGCATGCGACAAATCAAAAACTGAGAAAAAAACACGAAAAAGATTTTCAGTGTTTTTGGAATAGGAGATGACGGAAATCTTCAAAAATTTTTAGAAAAAAAAACGAAATGTCGAGTAAAAATTTTTATCGTTTATCAGAGATCACATCACGGCCTATCTCTTTCTTTATTTATCTTAATTTCGATTATTCTGACGAAAAGTAACTTTCTTCCTATTCATAAAGATAAGTTAACATGAAAATTAATATAATTTATTAAAAGAATATTTTATTTAAATTCAACAAATTTTCAAATAGAAACGAGAAAAGAAAATCTCTAAAAACTAATTTTGAGTGCCGAAAATTTTCAAAAATGTACAATCTATTTTGATTTCGTAATGATAGTGACATAGTCCAACAGCTTAAATCTTTACGAAGAACAAGAATAATATGAATTTCATTTATAATACTTCTCAATATCAGAGATATCCATCACGGCTGAAAATCTGTCACTATTGCGCCACGATGGACATCTTTGCTCAAATCGGAGACCAGAATTACGGCTCACGGAATTTTCGGTTCAGTTCGAAACTTCGGTGATTTTTCAGCCCAGGTCAAAAGTTCTAAAGGAATTTCGGCCAGAGCCGAAATTTATGTAATCCTCACAAATAATCTATTTCAATTATCAGACAGTTAACTTTGATCATCTTATTTTGTATATTTTCAGACAAGTATAAAGACGCGACAAAAATGTTTAAAATTTTCAACGAGGAAATTGAGTTATACACCAGAAGAGAATTTTAACTAGTGTGAAAAATAAAAGCAAGAGAGTTTTACAGTAGTCACGGCTGAAACCGATTGGGAAATAGTAAACTGGTTTAGTCCGGCCGATTGGAATCACATGACCAACCGGTGAAAATCGGCGACAAAATAATGAGTTGTTTTTTTGAAAAAACGATTTTTAGAAAAAATGGTTCCAAATATGAAATAGTTTAGGAGTGCATGTAAAAGGCATTCATCATAATGAATCTTTTCGAAGAGAATCTGAGAACAATTGATTAAAATAAGATATGTTTTAAGCACTTTTTTTTGCACATTCTGACAGAAAAACATGTGACACCCTAGTTTTTATGACCAACAACTGGATTAATAAAGAAGATTTTTCAAAACTTCCAACTAATGAAATTCCAGTTACTACCGGCCCGGCTCCAGTCCTGTCAGCAGTGACGTTGAGAACGATCATCTCTCCCTTTCGAAATATTTTTCTCAGCAAAAACGCCCAAAAATAAGCAACTTCAAAACACGTTTCGTGTCTATGATCGCTCTTCTGTTCCTAAAACTGTAGATCTTCCACTGTTTTACTACTTATACATAACATACGTTTGCTCTGAAGTAATGACATAAAATGTTGTTCGATAGAAGGGTACTCAAAAAAAAGTTTCGTTTTAATGAAAAGATGAATCTTTTTTCTTCTCTCTCGAATAACATCTTACTTATTTTTATAAGATGTTTAGAAATGAAACAATATTACAGAAAAGAGAAATACTCTAGTCTTGTTATGAAAGAATACTCTTGCCTTTCGGTATAAGGTACTGCCTAGTGATAGATTCAGAAGACCAACCTGTAGCAAGCTGCGGATCCACGTTTTTGTGGACCCAGACCAGAACAAAGTTTAAAATTTGGATCCCACCCGAAAAAAAATTAAAAAGTTGGACTCGGACTCGGCCGATCGGGGTCCGGATCTGGAGTGACTCGCAGCTCCCTACCGATCTGACGCAGTGTTCTTGACCTTTCCATACACACTCGTAGCCACAAGAGCAGATGTATGTCACAATGTAGTCAGCATACTATCGGATGGAGAATCCGAGACAGATAGCTGGTAGTGATTTGTTGAGAATGATTCCATGGCTGGTTCTTGTTGGTATCTGACCAACAAATGTGGCCATTCACGCGTATCAGCCCGCAGTCTTGTTATTCTTTCTTTAAGGTAAAAACAGAATTCTTTGTTATTAAAGTATCCAATAGAAGATTTGAAAATAATTGAATTAAATACGATTTTCTACAGAGATCTTTTTTTTTCATATAAGAATAATTAAATGTGAAAAAAAACCTGTTAATTTAGAAATGGAAAATGGAAGTAATGTTTTATTCGAAAGTGATAAACAAACAAACATAATTGATTCATGTGATTATTCAAATGATTGTTTATTATCAAAATCTCCATCACGATTATCTGAGAGTGAAACTTGTCGAACAATTGTTTCAATGTTAATTAATCAACGTAAAACAAATTTAGATCTTGAACAACAACTTAAACATTTACAATCATCAATTAAACCAATATCTCTTGATGAACATCAAACACATTCATTTGGTAATAAACGAAAAAAAAAAGTTAAACACAAAAAAAAAACTAATAATTTTTCTTTTTTTTTCTTTTCAAAAGCATCATCATCAAGTACATCAACAGGTTATTCAAGCGGTTCATCAATTGATGGAAGTAGTACAATTCTATCAGCATTTAGTTCACGTTCAAATAGTTCATTATCTGAAAGAAGTAAAACATCACCAACATCATTTAAACCAATTTTACCAATTAAATCTCAAATAACAATAGATGACGATTTTATTTATAAACCTTCGATTTTATACCAACAACAACAAACTGATTTAGATGAACCATCGATTAAACGACGAAAAATTATTAATCTAGAGGTTTGATCATTTTTCTCTTTGATTCCATTGCGTAATCTATACTATAAATCGAAAATAGGGAGGTACGAGTCTATGTTTTTGTAGACTCGAACCCGATCGGATCCAAACTCGAGATTTTTCTATCAATATCTGATATCCTTCGTGTACATGAACAAGTGAAAGATCAAGGTTTCAGCTATTTATTCGCTCCTCTCAGAAAAAACTCAACGTACAGTTATATCTTGTTGTTGGATTTCTCATCTGGGAAGCAAGCGGGTCCACAAAACCGTCTAATCAGGCCCAACAAAAAATAAAAGATTGGATCCAGGTCTGGAAGGATCCGCATGAAATTTTGACGGCAGACAGTTGAAAAGTATTTTCGAAAGATGAAACTAATCGTTCGGATTTTTTGACTTTTCTATTCAGATTTATGGAGTCCTGAATGTCACCATCCTGGTTTTAGATCTGGACCTTTACGTATTTCTCTCATAAAAAATAAGAAAGCCAGATTTTTGTAAATGTTTAAAATCACCTTTGAGATGTCGTCTAAGGTATCGTCTCCTTATTTGAGATGATTTATCTGTAGTAAAAATTTCATACGGATCGGTTATATCCTCTTCGAGAACCAGAAATGATCAAAAGGTGATGAGAAGTTATCTTTAAGTATTATTCAAATTTCAAAACAAATATGAATTGTATTTGTTATAACAATCATCATATAGTTCTCCCTACATGATTTATTCTCGTATGAAAATGATCTATGATTCGAATAAAGAAGTGGTTTTTGTTTTCATTTCGATAGCCTTTTATTTTTGACATAATTTCAAATGTATAACTTTTCCAGTTGGATGGTATTCTCACTCTCATATTTCATAGATATCCTAAAACCGATCTACTGTACGAAAAATGTCAGTCTTGTGAAAGAATTCCTATGACACATCGTATCGACATCGAAAAATGAATATATAAGTTTTATATAAAATGAATATTGATATTGTTCATAAGATCTTTTTAAACAAGCTATGAGTATTTTTCGAATGTGTCAATGATTTTGTTTTCGATGCTATAACTACGAACTCTCGTAGAAGTTAAATTTGATTTGTGAAGAAACCTCCAAGACTAGATAAAACACTTATTACAATAATTGTTGATCAGATTTTATTTTTATTAAATTCTTATGAATGATTAAATTGTTGAATAAATCAAAAATGGAATCGGTCTAGTTTTTTGACGACCTATCAGACTGATAGACCGACCGGTTTAAAATTGGCGTCCGCACCGGATTGCCGTTACCGCTTCTATCTATGACACAAAAAAATAAAAGAACTATTTATGCGAAACGTATTTTCGTGAAATTTTAAGGCCTCCCTAAAAAAAAAGTGACGTTTTCGTCAGAATGATCATAATTAAGATGAATCCATGGGAAATAATTTGTTTTGATTTGTTATGTTATATATAATATATATGATAATTAAAGGAAAATCAAGGTCCAAGAACACGATCTCGAAGTATAAGTGAACGTGGAGGAATAAGTGAATCATGTTCAATAGTAACACGTAAACGAAAAGCATCAATTGTTTGTGAACAAAATCAAAGTGAAGTGAAACAACCAACAATTGATTATATCAAACAATTAGATAGTAAATATATTATCTTATTAAAAACAAAAAAAAAAGATTTTTTGTGTAATTAAATAAATTTGTAGAAATGAAAAATCAATATATAAAATCTAGTACAAATCGACATTCAACAAATGAATCAATAAATAAAAGTCAATTAGCATCAAAATTAAAAGTTATTGAATTTCTTAAAGAACATCTTTATCCAACTGGTAAAAAAACGAAAAAATTAATTTTGATTTTAAAATAAAAATTGAAAAATTTAGATTCATCAATATTATCATTTCAAATGTCAAATGAAGAATTATTTCCAAATAAACGTCTTTTAAATCAACGAATTCGAGAAATTCGTCAAAAATTAATGAGTTATTTAAAACAAGAAAAAATTTCAATAAATTCATCATCACCATCATCATCATAAATAATTATTTTTATTCGATGTTGTGCCATACATATGTTGTGGTAGTCTTAGTCTCTTGAAATTCTCCTATCGAAATGATGTATCCGTTCGCCTCTTTTCTCTTTCTAGTCCATGTTCTTTCGTTTTCTTTTAGACAACAAAAAAAAAAAACAAATTATGTGTGTTTCTCTTTAGGTACAATTTATTGCTTTTTTTTTTCGTGGAATTTATATCATTATTAAAGACTCGTTAGTCAACTTGTCTCTAAAATAAAATAAAATAAAACAAAACTTTATTCATATTATCATTTTCATCTAGTTGTCATTAGAGGATAATATTCTTCATTATCTTCTTTATGCCTATTCAGTTTAATTGTTAAAAATGAGAAATGGCTATTTCAAAATCATTTACTCATTTTTTTTAATCATATTGGACATTCTCTCTATGCTTCGGGTTTGATATCCTACACGAATACGATTTTTTACAAGCGAACCCGGACTGAAGCTTCTCAACATCCGGCAAAATATTTTCACAGTCACAGTACACTTTTCAAATTTTTATTTTATATAAAAAATTATATTATTTAGTTTCTATAAACAGCAACAAAAAAATAAGACAAGACATCTCACATTTCACAAAAAAGCACCTGATTTTAGATTGACTTAGTGTCTTTCTGCTTCTAAAATTCGATCAATTTTGCTTGTTGTTGATGACGTTGGAATAGAACGCAGAGTTCATGTCAAACGTCATAATTATGGATACATATATCAATGCTCAGGCTCTGCAGCAGTCCTTCTTTTTTGCTTTTCATACGAATACGCTCTCAGAAACATCGGAAAACCTACAAGCAACGTTTGGATAGAGAGATCTCAGAGCTCTCGAAAATGTTTAATTCACTACAAGTCCAATGAAAAGTCCACCACGCTTATGTTAAGGTATGCATGTAGGACATCAATTTACATGGTACATATGTGCAGGATTTGAGATACTTAAAATGAGTTTTCGTTGGAATTCGGTTGCTGCTAAAAATTGCGGACACATACTCAGTATTCAATGACCAAGCATGACAGAAGCCGAGTTATATTGTAGTTGGTCTTACAAATACTTACGTGAATGACCTTTCGTCGCGTATCGATTTTTACTCAGCAGAACACAAGAAATATACAGTTAGTGTTGGATGCTTATTGATAAATAAAAGGAGGAAGACAACCAACATTTAGTAGGCCGTAGGACGGTGCTTGTGAACGAGAATGGAGTCATACATGCAAATTGGTGCAATTTAACTCAAAATAAACTGTCAATTTTCCATGCAATTTAAGTTGGTCAATCAATTCCAGACGTGCTCAAAACTTCTCCACTTGAACTATAGGTCTTATGCTTTTCGAGCTTTTGATCGGCTTGAGATCTCAGTCACGTTTTTTGACTTTTCTGGTCGATAAAGTCGTGAGTCATAATTGAGCTTTATCACGATCGAAGAACTTGAAAAGTATTTGAAATCGTGTAGGTGTACATATATCACGGAATTGGCCACATAACCAGTTAATTCGAATCAATGGAGAACGTCAAAATCACCTTGAAATCTCATTAAGAACAAAAAGCTTGAAAACAGCGTATCTGGATTGTGGAAATCATAAGACATCGGGATATGAGTGGGGCACACAAAAACCATCAGATGAGGAACAATATCTTTCTACAAGCTTGAAAATATTTACGGGTTGCACTCAGCTTTGAATGCGAAAATTTGGTTAAACAGCTAACTTAACTTCGAATTACCTTAAACTTTTCACTTCTAGGCGAGAATTATCTCTTTCGAAGATAGAGAGGACGTTCTACGCTGTAAAATTAACAAAACTTTTTGCAACTTGATAAACAGTCTAAAAGTTTTACGGTAAAGTTCTAGCAGGAGTGAAGTCGAGCAACAGAATCAAAAAAGTTTTCTAAGGTTTCTTTAACAAAGTCATTCGAATCAAATTGAAAAAACTCGTAAGTGGATGCAGAAATGAAAATACTCGATTTTGTAAAAGCGGACATAAGTATGCTAGGATTGTAGTGCACTGTCGACTTAGTAATGTCATGTGTTTGTTCTCAAAAAAAAAATCTGCCAATATTTGTTCGATCTGGCATTAAATATTTGTATAATACGGAAATTGATACATAACCAGACCGTTTCAAATTCATTTTGTTAATTGAATAAAACACATGACATTTGGAGTCGACGATGCTGTTCTACAATCCTAGCATACTTATTTTCACTTTTCAAAATCAAAGATTTTGATCCCCGTACCTATCTGTCGGTTCTTCAATTCGGTTTTGATGACTTAGTTCGAGAATCTCTCGAAACTTTTGCTGCCTGCGCTGTGAAGTTTCTAACTGTACCGGTAGTTTATCCTAAAAATTCCAGTCCGCCGTCTATCGATCAGCGAGAAAAGTTGATAGGTTCTTAATGGAAACATATCAGTGACATCCTATCAAGGGATATTTTTGAAAATACACGAAATTTCGTGATTGATACAGGGAATAGCGATACATGGGAGTGAGGGGACGTGTGTTACCTGTAGAACTGCCAGAAGAATCATTGAGATCTGGGAAGAACAAAAGCACGAATATATCACATGACAAGAAGACAAAAGTTTGTGTTTGAAATTTATTCTCATCTGAGCTCAACCCTATCGTTTACTATTCGACTTCTAATATAATTTTACCGCTGTAGCGCAGTATTCTTGAAAACCCTTTTTTTTTGTTCCTTCTTTTCCTGCTTTTTTTCGAATTTCTTTCTTTTTTTTTCGAAAAATTCCTTCTCAAAATCCTTCTTTTCGGCGACCCCTGAATAAAAAAGATTCGTTTCAAGAATAATTATTGATCATGATTTACATTCAATATTAATCGAAGAAAAATTTCGTATTTAAGATAATGATGAAGAAACAAATGATGTTGAAGTCAAGAAAATAAGACGACTGGGAACAAAACCAACAACATTCTATAAAAGAACGAGAAAAAAAATTTAAAGAACATATTCAAATATATATGAGATATTTAAAACAATTAGAACGATTCAATAAATAAAATTATTAAGAAGCAGCTTAAGTAAATGAATATGAATCAATAATTATGATCAAGGTAACGTTATTTGTAGGACAGAACGTTTTTTAGAGTGTTTCAAACTAAAGTGCTGTTATATAATAGTTAAAGAAGATCCGTGCCACAAATGATTCTTTATCATTAATCTAATATCAAAGTTTAAAATTTATTCTTGTTATCATAAAAAAAAGAAACTCAAAGATAAAGATAATCTTCATTTGAAAAAATCGATGAAGATCCAAAATGAATTTTTTTCTTACGAAAAATTGATAAAATTTGTTTGATATTAATGGTATCAAGGACAAATTAAAGCTAAATCAAGCAACAAAAACAAATTGAACTTGATTCAAAAACAAATAGAAAAGATTTCAAAACTTCCTAATAATAAATGAAATGTAATTGATAACAACGTTCAACGATAGTTATTTGTTCACTTTCTATTTTATATTTTCTGGTAAAGAGATTGTTTTTGTTGATACATATAACTTTATTTATTGTTTCATTTTGCCAAATGATAAATCAAACGTTGATTTTTATTTTCCATTTAATAACAGAACAAGATCTTATTTATTTGTATTTTTTTTTAATTAAAACTATTTTAAAAATTTATCTTTTCTCAATTCATATTAAGAATAATTAGCAGCTGTAGGTTAAATATATTTTTCTCCTTATTCACTTTCTTATACATCCATTAAGTAATATTACAAGTTGATTTATCAAAAATAGAGATGTATCAGATACGTTTATCAGTCAATGTGATTCGTTAGTCTTAGTATGTCGATTCATAATTAAACATTTTCTTGTCTTCTATGATTTCATTCACTACACAATTTGAAAGTTCGTATCAAAAGTATAATACTTTTACAGTTCATATGTTTCTAAGAAGAGCTAATCATTATCATGTGAACTTGATAATGATGAAGCACGACTCTACGAGAATAAGATAATTTTTTTTTCTAAAAATGAATTATAAACGAGTTTTTAAAGGCATTTTGATATCATAGATTTGTATATAAGTATTTGTTCACAAAAGTAGAAGTCATCTTGCTTATCGAAAGAGAAACAAATTCGAATAAATGAAGAACGAAAGAGAGAGAATTTAATAGTCTATACAGATAAATGAAAACGAATGTACATAATTTATCCAGAATGAAAAAAAAGATAGAAAATGACGTCATGATTTGGTTATAGAGGATTAGTTATTTCTTATATTACTTAGCCAACAGATGTCTCCATCAAATTCAATCATTTTTTTTTAATTTTAGTTTATCCAGTTACTATTATTTCAAATTTTTCTTATCAATTCTGTACAAAATCCTCAACATATAAAAAATTCTGATCTCAATAAATATGTTATTGAAACGATTGAATCCATCTTAATTTATTCAAGATGCTCAATTAGTTCAATCCATTGATCTTTGTATTTTTTTTTTTTTTTTGTAGAAAAATATATAAATAATATATATTTTAAAAATATTACAATGGACATTGTTGCGATGAACAAATATCCATTAATGAATTGGATTTTGGATTTATATACACCATATTATCAACGTAAAGCTGATCGTCTATTGTGATGTTTCATTTCTTGATGGTCAAAAATGGGTATAAAATTGTGGATAATGTTCGGCATGTTCCTTTATTTTTAAAGAAAGCTATTCATTTTTTTTTCTGGATAGGTGATACATGAAACATTATCCTTAACTCGGAATGATGGAAATTCAATAACAATGATGTACGTCAAAAAAGATCAACATATTCGTGCTCTTCATGATATTGCAGCTGGTCGTCAAGAATAGAGCCCTGCAGGTTATAGATAACCTGCCCTGCCCGGCCAGGGCAGGGCAGGGTAGGTTACGCTAGGAACAGGGCAGGGTAAGGTTACGAAAATTTTTACAGGGCAGGTTGCAGGTTATGTATGTCGTAACATGTCAACCTGCGACAAATTTTACATATCAGATATTGTCAACATCTTTTCTAAAGTTATACATAAAGAAAAGAATAGAAGTAAGCTGATAACCAAATTAAAGTGTTTGCCAAGATATCTAACAGAAATAGAAGGATTCTCATGGACGTATAAATCCAGAAAGTTTCATGACTTTCGTGAATTTTATATCAAAAACACGAAAAAAAGAGGTGATTCGATTGGTGAACCGGACATGAAAATTGATGTATTTGAAGTCCGTTGATTAAAAGGAACATTTTAATAAAGCAAATGAAATGAATTTGATTTGTAAACAAAATTATGGAATTATATTAATGAAAATTTCAATTTTAATCAAGGAATCTGAAAGACATCAATTTTTATGCTCGTTCCATCATTCTAATAAATTTCTTGGTTTTTCTAGTCCCTGGATTGCAAAACTATTCTTTGTACATATAGCTACTCAAATGCACGTTGATTTCTCTAATTTTGAGTTGTATCTTA